GTGTTGTTGGACGTTGCATATTGGCTGTTGGACTCGATCGGACCTTGTGCGAAGCACTTGAGAGGTTATGTGGAACAAGTGCACATCGAATGCAAAGTGAATGGTTGGTCCGTCCCTCCGACCACTGCCACTCTTGGCTGTGAAATATTCCATTTCGTTTTGATTGACAAGCAAATCGCATGGCATTTGCCATGACCAATTATTTGGCATTTACTGTTTCCTCCTCATCTCTGACAAATTGCCTCTGGATTTTCCATGACGTACCACAGTAAGGACATTAGTATGTGAGGTACTTGGGGGGTAGTAGTGGGAGAGCACGGTAGGAGATTGAGTACTAGTGACTGAGTCGATGCCACGCCATAATTTCAGCTCTTGCTGATTCTTTTATATAGGAAACTCAAAGGAGCACAAGTGCTTTGCCTTATACACCTCATTCTGTTTGTACACGGTCTGTTTTCACACGGCCATGAAATAACACGGTTTGAAAAAAAAAAAATGTTTAATTTTGAACACGATTTTATTCCATTTAGCACGGTGCAAGATAACACAAGACAAATGGATAAAAACACACACAGCTCACAAACAGCTAGAAACAAAACGAAAACAAGAATGAGCATAAATAGAGTACAGGTGTACATATATGTACGTACATATTCATATGTACATACATGTACATACGTACATATGCATATGTACATACATGTACATCCATACAAGCGAATTTGCCAGTCAGAGCAATTGCAGATAGCAAAAATGTAGGGGAATTACCTTTTTGTGGAATTACATTTTTGCACGAGAAATGTGTTAGTATTTTGTGAACTAGCAATGCAATTAGACGTGTTTGGCAAAGACATTCTTTTGTACGCAAATTTGTTTTCCCTTTGGACGGAAGGGGAAGCCCTTCTTTTGCACGAGAGCATAGCGTGGTATGCCAGTCATAATTTGTCCCTTCTTTTTATCTACACATTCTTGAGTTCATTTCCTAGGGCAGACATGACAAGAAGAAATTTTACTTTTTTTAATTGACATAATCACACCTGTGGGACTTTCACTACGGGTCCCCTCCCCGATTATAGAAATGTAGCCGCCCCGTTCCCCATCCCCCCTTTCGAACTTTCGAGATTTCCTTTTCCCCTGCACTCTCTAATGAAATCCAGCACTGGCTCCATCTCTTCTCTCTCCATCTCTAGGTTTGTGGGCTCCGTTTGATGCAACTGCCATTCTCTTGAGGGGCCATTTAATTAGGGGCCCCAAACAAGACAAGATAAAAGAGAAGGCAGCCAAAGAAGAAGCAAGCAGAACGCAAGAGGAAGAAGAAGAAGAAGATAAAGAAGACGTAGAAGAAGTAAGGGTACCTAATGATAACCTTTAGTCCGGTATTGCTGCTTCTTCAACTGATTCGCCCCCTCCTTCTGAGTGTACTTCTTTCCAGCCAGCAAAACCGCTAAAAGACTGAACGCCGTCTTCCCTTATATTTGATTCGATTCCGTTTCGTTCCTCCTTTCTCCTCGCCAGCGAGCGTAACTGCAAATTTTCTTGATTGCCGGGTTCCACCGCCTAACCCGAAGTACGCGCCACTGGCCACAGAACAGGGCAGCGTAAAGGGAGCGTGCTGAAGAAAGACCATTGACCATTGACCGGTTGAGGCGACCACAGCTGATGAGGGGAGAAGCGCCGAGCCAGTCTGTGACTATCCATCGATCTTCTGCGATTCCTCCTATCCCCAGCCCCATAATTAGCAAAGAGAGCACTGAAGTGAAAAAAAGTTGGCATGGGGTGTGACCTTCAGGGGGCTAGCCCACCCAATCCTCTCCAGCGTCATTCCAGAGGGTTTCTATAATTGCGGGAGCCAAATCCCAGAACAGATCCACTCAAATTTGAAATGGTCCAAGGACGGGCTGGGACTATAAATAGCAAGATTCGTGAGCTGGCAATCACAACACTCCTCCTCGGGAGGCAGCCCACAACAGCCGGATCTGTCCAAGGCGATCAGCCATATATCGCTGATCATTGCCATATATGTATACTCTGCGGATCATGTAATTGGCTCTGCTTCCCCTTTTCTTGCTTCAAATGCATTTCCTTTGCCCTGGCGGTGGGAGCGAAGCAGAAGCAATCCCCACGCCTTTCAAGAGAAGAGGGGCTGTAAATCACCAAACGCGACAACCTCTATAGGGTTTCAGAGAAGCTAACCTCAAGAGCGGGAACATCGACTGGAAATTAGCGAATACATATGTACATACATATGCACACATATTACATATATACATGTATGTATTTATGTATGTACGTAAGAAACCCTGTAGTACCAGGCAACTAGTTCCGCACCGGTGCAGCACTAGCTACCATTCTCACCTCCCTGGTTCCAGATCGATTACCCGCAATGTATTTCAGCGGAGAATTTAACACATGCATGTCCTAGGGCGGAACCACCCCTGGTTCCCGCTCGACTACCCGTAGCTAGTTGCGCAGGAGGTAGTTCCGAACTAGTTATCAGTATAAAGTAAAAAAATCAATGTACCATCCATACATATGTATGTACATATGAAAATACAGCATTCTATGTCCATGCCTACATATGTATGTATGCATCTATGTATTAGAAGAAAGATAGTTCTACAACAAATTAGGCATGTCCTCTGCGCTGGGCCTCCACCAAAGCGCGTATACGCTCCCAAAATGTGTTGATATCGAAAATCTCCATAAATTGACGTACGTGATTTTTTCATCATATTCTAGTTCTAGTTCTCGAAACAAGCTAAAATTAAAAAAATAGATTGGTTGAACTAAAAGATACTATCATTAGTTAGTGAATGCTGAAATGCTAAAGAATTTTCCTAAACGTGTTCAACTATCGAATGGCTTGCGCTAAAGATTTCAGAACGGGCATGCCACGCACCATGAGTGCAGGGCAAAAGCATTTGCCACAGCAGAGTGGAGACAACAACAATATTTCAGATCGGCTCCCGTTGAGTTTCCGCTGCTGGCTATGTTGCTGGTTGTTCTTGTTGCATTTCCCGTCGTGCTCGTCAAAGGAGGATGGGGGTTGCGGTTTGTGGCATTCAGCAGGCATTCCGCTGTCTTTGCCACCTATTTCATACAGCTGATTATTTGTTGTCGCTGTCGCTGTTTCGGTTGTAGTTTCTGTTGCCGTTGTCTTTGTCGTTGTTGTCGTTGTTGTCGTTGTTGTCGATGTTGCTGATTTTGCTGATGTGGCAGATGTTGTTGTTCGCTTGCTGTGTTGCTGTTTCTCTGCTGTTCGCCCTGCAATCGGACACGCCGGGGCAACAACATCATTTGGCCCTGGCCCTTGTCTCCTCTCTCGATTATCGAGTCTCAGCTATCATCTCTGGGTTATCCTTCCCCAATTGCTAGCTCCTAATGACCAATCTCCTTTCCCGGTTCCCAACTCTTTGACTCCCATTTCCCCATTTGTAGCTCATGTTTGGCGACTGACCGCCAGTTAATTTTGTGGGTAATAGCCACTTTCCGGCCTCTATAATCACAGCAGGAATACGCGAGGACGAACCTGAAGGCGAACACTCGTACCACTCGTATGACTGAAATAATTGCAACGAGAGAGCTGTCTCAGACCGCAAGATAAACATATGTGCATATGTATACATATGTACATATATGTACATATGTATACGGCTTCCGCAAGAGTTTGACCATTTGAACATTAAATAATTCATGACTCGAGATGAATGAATGAGTCCTGCCCCATGGTCGAGTGTATTACTATTCGAATTGGTGAATTACTTTCCGAATTAGTACCTATTGGCTACCCATCCACTCTACCCACTCAAAGGAACCGATCCTTCTTTCCGCTAGTGAGCCTGAACTGCATACTGTTTCTGTTCTTCTTGTGCAGTCATCTCAGCCACGAAATCAATGCACAGCTCATTCATTGAACGAGTCCTTCACTCGATTGTTCTCTTCAATCAACGCAATCGATTTCTCTTTCCGCTTGTGACCACCCACCCACTTGCACATGGGACCACATCCCTACCTCTTTCGGACAGCAGGGTCAGCCCGCTGAGCCGACATGCGCACTGGGGTCAATTGGATGAATGGGTTCGTTGGTATGACTGTGATGGCTGGAACGGCTGGGATAAAACTGCTGGCAAGAAAGCAATTTGCTACCCGTTCGAATGGAAACCACAAGAATGCCAAAAAGTTGTTAGCGCTGCCGGAGGTTGCAATTGGAATTGGAAGGAGATTGGGTCTGGAACGGAGCGGGACGGGTCGGGACGGAGAACTGGGGACTAAGAGCTGCGGGATGGCAATCGGTGGGCAGCCATTAGAATTTCTAAGCGAAGATCGCCATCAAAAACTCTCCACTCTCCATCCCAAGCCCCCACCGATCCCAACCCCCTTTCGCCGCTTGCCACTGCTGTCGAGCTCATTAAAGTCTCACCAGTTGCATTCACTCAGCCAATCAATGTGGCTGTCGATGTAGATGTGGATGTGGTGTATATGTGGGAAGATATCTTCTGTGAGCCAACGAACCCAGCTGACCAAGGGTAATCCCTGCCGCCACTCCGACTGTGGGGTATTCTGCTCATGCCACTGTTTTTATTGGTTCAGTGGTTCGGTGGTACGACGTTTAGTTAAGCGTGTAATAGGCCGAGCCGACAGCGGAAGTAGCAACTTTTACAGTTCGCAACAGCTGGATTCAACAGTATCGGCTTCGTGGCCCGCTTCTTCTTTAATGCAGCCTGTCACACTGGCTACTCTTTCGCCTCCACTTTCTTGGCCACATTTCTAATGGAGGATGTCTGCAGTCGGGATTAGAGAGCGGAACGACTGGGCACTTGGACCTTGGACCTGCCTTGGACTCATCCAACATTTGCCTTCTTGCGCCTTCTTATGGATGGTTTCCACGTAATGAATTCCTTAACCTGTGATTTTATTCTGCATCTAGAACTATTCATTATTTTGTATCATTGAACAGAGTCTGAGACTAACCCAAGGTTCCTCTTTCCACTCGTTTGCAGATGACAATGCAGTCAAGATCGACCAGCAATATTAGTGGGAGTGCCACCCGCAGCACACACACGATCTCCATGGGACTGATTATGATCTCGGCCATGGCCGTGCTCCTGGTGGCGCTCCCCGGCGGCGCAGTAGAAGCCCGCATGGCTTTCGAGAAGTTGACAGACTTTGACTTTCCGGGAAACACGTACTACAGCGTGAAGAACCTGTCCCTGTACGAGTGCCAGGGCTGGTGCCGCGAGGAGGCAGACTGCCAGGCGGCCGCATTCAGCTTCGTAGTGAATCCGCTGTCGCCCTCGCAGGAGACACACTGCCAGTTGCAGAACGACTCTTCAGCGGCCAATCCCTCGGCTGCGCCTCAGCGGTCGGCTAACATGTACTACATGGTGAAGCTGCAGCTGCGCAGCGAGAACGTGTGCCACCGGCCGTGGTCCTTCGAGCGGGTGCCCAATAAGGTTATTCGGGGGCTGGACAATGCCCTCATCTACACTAGCACCAAGGAGGCCTGCCTGTCCGCCTGCCTCAATGAGAAGCGCTTCGTATGCCGCTCCGTAGAGTACGACTACAACAATATGAAGTGCGTGCTGAGCGACTCGGACCGACGTAGCTCCGGCCAGTTCGTTCAGCTGGTGGACGCACAGGGCACCGACTACTTCGAGAACCTCTGCTTGAAGCCGGTCCAGGCCTGCAAGAATACACGCTCCTTCGCCAACGCCCAACGCATGGGCGTCTCTGAGGAGAAGGTGGCCCAGTACGTCGGCCTCCACTACTACACGGACAAGGAGCTGCAGGTGACCTCCGAGTCGGCATGCCGGCTGGCCTGCGAGATTGAGTCCGAGTTCCTGTGCCGCTCCTTCCTCTACCTGGGCCAGCCGCAGGGCGCCCAGTACAACTGCCGGCTATACCACCTTGACCACAAAACCCTGCCCGACGGCCCATCCACCTACCTCAATCACGAGCGCCCCCTAATCGACCACGGCGAGCCCATCGGCCAGTACTTTGAGAACCAGTGCGAGAAGTCCGCCTCTGGGCCCGGCTCTCCCCCAGGCACCCTCGACAAGATCGACACGTTGCCCGTCAGCTTGGACACTATTGAGGACCCTAATCTCACCAACCTTACCCGCAACGATGTCAACTGCGACAAGACTGGCACTTGCTACGATGGTGAGTGATCTCTGCCTTCATCTCCCCTCCGCTTCCCTCGCCACTCTTTCCAGCTCAGCTCAGCTGAGGATCGTCTGCTTGTTTCTCTGTTTAATTCCTCTGAGTTCTCCCTCTATTAGTTTCTGTTCACTGCAAGGACACAAGGATCGCAGTCCAGGTGAGAACCAACAAGCCCTTCAACGGACGCATCTACGCTTTGGGGCGGTCCGAGACCTGCAACATCGATGTGATCAACTCAGACGCCTTTCGACTGGATCTGACCATGATTGGACAGGACTGCAACACTCAGAGCGTGGTAAGTGATTCTCCAGGAATCCTCTTCTCTGCTAAACGCAAAGTTTAGGGAAATATTAGTTGTCGATAGTCGATGTAGCCATGTCTGCCTGTCCGTCTTATTTGTCGCTTAGTTCTTAGAGACTATGCGAGCTAGAGCCACCAAATTTTTTGTGTACCCCTCTCTGATATCATACTACATGAAGTTGATTTCAAAATTTTTCCCCCTACGCCCCCACAAAAAAGGAAAATCTGTGACGTCCACAAATTTGAAGATTTGAGAATACCAAAAACACAGAATTACTTAATTAAATATAAATACAATATAGAGCCTCGGCTCACTCGTTTATCTTGCAAAATGGAGCTTGCTGGGAAGCTTAAATCAGTGATCATCTGCGACCCCTATTATAAACTGAAAGCAATCCTTCGCCAAAAAAAATAGTAAGATACTTAATGATCATTTAAAAATGTTCGTTAAACGATCTACTAGATTGATCTTGGATTAATGGAACTCCAATTATCAATGTTCAAAAAACACATATCGAAGCTACATGGCATTAAAATCGACCAAAAGCATTCACCAAGATAAGACCTTCAATTCAAGATAAATGCGAAAATAATATGGCTGAGATCAATCAGCAAGTTGGTTGAATCTAGCGATCACTGCTTTGCATAAATATGTTCATAAGTATATAGAGGCTTGAAAATCCTGTGTGAATCCAAAAAAAACGAGGGGGAACGTTGTGAGTTGCTGCAGCTGCCGCAACTCTACAGTTATACCCGATACTAAGTCAGTATGGCTCTCCTCCGGCAAACGGCGCTAATATTAAACGACACGACAAAGAGTGCGTGCGAGAGAGACAGAAAATCAGTCTGAGCGTGACGTCGACGCTGCGGAGCCAGTGCAAATTGATTTGTTCCCTTTGGCTATAAAAATGATCTGATCTGATCCATATTCAGAAACCTGATAGATATGGTCATTATCTATGAATCTGCGCTTTTATTTTTCTCGAATCTGCAATATTGTGGATGCAACAGAATTTCGTCCTTTGTGTGGGCGGAAGGGGGTAAGGCGAAATTTTGAGATATACGTTTTATAGTGAGATCTAACAGAAGTGCGGATACCAAATTTGGTTACTGTAGCCTTAATAGTCTCTGAGATTTGTGAATATCCCCAGATTTGCATCCTTTGCGGGGGCGGAAGGGGGTGTGGCGAAATTTTGAAACAAACTCGTCTCGGTCCGATATATTAGGAGTGTGGATACCAAATTTGGTTGCTCTAGCTTTTATAGTCTCTGAGATCTAGGCGCTAATGTTTTACTCTAAGCAAAGCCGCCTATGCTACGTATGTGCTAGAGAGAGACGGGGCGAGAAAAAATTAAATTGTTTTCTTGATGCTGGCTACAATAATAATACGATCCAATTCAGATTCTACAGTCTAAAAGATATGGTCATTCTCTACGATTCTGCGTTTTTGGTTTTATCGTATCTTTAAAAATGTGGATGCCACAGATTTTCGTTCTTTGTGGGGGCGGAAGTGGGCGGGGCGAAGTTTTGAAATATTTTTGTAGCAGTGACATATCACAGAAGTCTGGATCTAAAACATCGTTGCTCTAGCTCTTGTAGTCTTTGAGCATTAGGCGCTGAAGGGGACGGACAGACGGACAGACGGACAGACGGACGGACGGACAGACGGACAGACAGACATGGCTCAATCGACTCGGCTATTGATGCTGATCAAGAATATATATACTTTATGGGGTCGGAAACGATTCCTTCTGGACGTTACACACATCCACTTTTACCACAAATCTAATATACCCCAATACTCATTTTGAGTATCGGGTATAATAAAACCCCCAAGAAGAGCGGTGAAAATACGCATACATATGTATGTTCCTAAAACTAAATAAATAGAAAACTTAGTAGCATATAAACTATTATATCTGTGCTTACAGGGAAGTCTGGAAAGCCGACAAGTGTCATGTATGTATATATATGTGCATATATGTATGTATACACTCCCCGACACTTGAATACGACACACTAAAAATGTTTACTAAAGGCACTAATATTTTCGGCACAATTCAAAGAAAACGGTGAATTTTAATTTTCATACAAATCTTTATTTAATTTAGCATAAATTGAAAAAAAAAAACTATATTCATTAAAGCAGATTAAGGAAACAAATTTAATTAAAACCGAGGGGGAACGTTGTGAGTTGCTGCGGACACCGCAACTCTACGGTTATACCCGATACTAAGTCAGTATGGCTCTCCTCCAGCACGCCGCTAATATTTAACGACACGACAAAGAGTGCGTGCGAGAGAGACAGAAAATCAGTCTGAGCGTGACGTCGGGCGCTGCGTAGCCACTAAAAATTGATTTCTTGCTTTTGGCTACAAAAATGATCCGATCTGATCCAGATTCGGCAACCGGATAGATATGGTCATTCTCTATGATTCTGCGTTTTTAGTTTACTCGAATTTGCAATATTGTGGATGCAACAGATTTTCGTCCTTTGTGTGGGCGGAAGGGGGTGGGGCGAAATTTTGAGATATACGTTTTATAGTGAGATCTAACAGGAGTGCGGATACCAAATTTGGTTACTCTAGCCTTAATAGTCTCTGAGATTTATGAATATCCCCAGATCTGCATCCTTTGCGGGGGCGGAAGGGGGTGTGGCGAAATTTTGAAACAAACTCGTCTCGGTCCGATATATTAGGAGTGTGTATACCAAATTTGGTTGCTCTAGCTTTTATAGTCTCTGAGATCTAGGCGCTAATGTTTTACTCTAAGCAAAGCCGCCTATGCTACGTGTGTGTTAGAGAGAGACAGGGCGAGAAAAAATTAAATTGTTTTCGTGATACTGGCTATAATAATAATACGATCCAATTCAGATTCTGCAGTCTAAAAGATATGGTCATTCTCTACGATTCTGCGTTTTTGGTTTTCTCGTATCTTTAAAATTATGGATGCCACAGATTTTCGCCCTTTGTGGGGGCGGAAGTGGGCGGGGCAAAGTTTTGAAATATTTTTGGAGCAGTGACATATCACAGAAGTCTGGATCCAAAACATCGTTGCTCTAGCTCTTATAGTCTTTGAGCATTAGGCGCTGAAGGGGACGGACAGACGGACAGACGGACAGACGGACGGACGGACAGACGGACAGACGGACGGACGGACAGACAGACATGGCTCAATCGACTCGGCTATTGATGCTGATCAAGAATATATATACTTTATGGGGTCGGAAACGATTCCTTCTGGACGTTACACACATCCACTTTTACCACAAATCTAATATACCCCAATACTCATTTTGAGTATCGGGTATAAAAAACTTTTAAATGACTCACGGTCGTTAATTCCAAGCCCCCAACTTCATCTCAATCTTCATCAGACTGGCGTCTATTCAAACACGGTGGTGCTGCAGCACCATAGCGTGGTGATGACCAAGGCAGACAAGATCTACAAGGTAAAGTGCACATACGACATGAGCTCGAAGAACATCACTTTCGGAATGATGCCCATCCGCGATCCGGATATGATCCACATCAACTCGTCGCCGGAAGCGCCACCACCAAGGATCCGCATCCTGGACACGCGCCAGCGCGAGGTGGAGACAGTGCGCATTGGAGACCGCCTCAACTTCCGCATCGAGATACCCGAAGACAGTGAGTAGATCCCACTGGAGATGGGTAAAAGATGAATTCTAATATCTGCTCTTCTGCAGCTCCTTATGGCATCTTTGCCCGCTCGTGTGTGGCCATGGCCAAGGATGCACGCACCAGCTTCAAGATCATCGACGACGACGGCTGCCCCACTGATCCCACCATCTTCCCCGGATTCACCGCCGACGGCAATGCCTTGCAATCCACCTACGAGGCTTTTCGCTTCACTGAGAGCTACGGTGTCATCTTCCAGTGCAATGTCAAGTACTGCCTTGGCCCCTGTGAGCCGGCCGTCTGTGAATGGAATATGGAGTCTTTCGAGTCACTAGGCAGAAGGCGTCGTCGTTCAATCGATAAGTGAGTCTTACCATCCAAAATCATTATATGTATTAAACATGTCTGACTCTGACTCTATGTCTGTCTCTTTTTTTTCTCTCCTCAGCCATGACTCCAAGAACACCACCATGAACATCTCTCAGGAGATTCTGGTCCTGGACTTTGGTGATGAGAAGCGCGAATTCTTCAAGGCAGATCCCAGCACAGACTTTGCCAAAGGTAAGCCTGCCTAACCTTAAACTGAAAAGAGAATGAACATCAAATTCCTTTTCGTCCCGCCCCGTTTCTCCCCGCATAGACAAAACTGTGACCATCATCGAACCCTGCCCGACGAAGACGTCGGTGCTGGCGCTGGCCGTGACCTGTGCGCTGATGATCCTGCTCTACATCTCCACCCTGTTCTGCTACTACATGAAGAAGTGGATGCAGCCCCACAAGATCGTAGCATAAGTCCGATCGCCTTCAGAAGGAGAAAAAAAAGAAAGCAAGAAAACTAAAACTATAACTACCACAACATCAAAAAAAGTTGAAAGACATAATGAAATTGAAAGAAAGAATAGAAAAACAAAATCACAGTAAAAATTGTCATACCACACTCGGACTCCCCCTCAAAACACATCACGCAACACGCATCACACCACTATAACTGTGCAAGTCTAGCTATCGCTTTGTCTCTCTCTTGCCCCAGCTGTCTCTGACCGCTCTTTTGCTGAAAGATGCAGCTTTAGAGCAGAAAAGAGTTCACCATATAGACACCACGCTCGCACGCACACACACCTCACACCGCACCACTCACCCCTCAAACAATGACAACCGTATAATTTTTTGTTTTTTTTTTTAATTGATATACACATTTACATATTTAATATACAATTTATTTATTTATATTTATTTAAACTTAGGGCGTGAGATGTTTGCCTATAGGAAAAACTAAAATGAAGAGAAAAAAGAAGTGACAAATTTCCAATACACTCAAAACTTAGAACAAAACGAAAGCGAGGAAAATCTACGGAAGAAGGAGAAGCAAAGACAGCCTTGCACATTTAAAATATGCGAATAGTATGAAAATAAAAGAAAAAATTAAGGAAAAGCTGCGAGCGCGTACTTTCTATAAAGTTACGAAAAGGGGAATCCCAAAACATTCGAGGGCCTGCTCGAGTGCTGGGGAGAGGAGCGCGATGGGATAGGTACCTTTTTGTAACTTCTATAGAGACTGCGGCCGCAGAAGCACACACTCGCATTCACTCACACGCCTACACATTTCAGCACTCCCACTCGCACTCACACTCATAAACACACCCACGTTCACACCCAACACACGCACTCACATTTATTTAATTTTAAAAGGAACGCAATAAACGCAAACAAAAGCAATCAAGAAACGAAACTAAGGACGCCGGTCAAAGCAAAAGGAAAACAAGAAATGAAACGTAATTTCAGAGAAACAAAGTGAAGTTGTGCTTAATTGTATTGCATTTATTTAATTTAAATCTATTTATAATAATAAAGAACGATAATGACAAAGCAACCGTGTTTCCGCCATTGGCATCCCTCTAGTACTGGCGGTCGCCTGGTTCCTATGTACATGGGTACTTTCCGGACTAACCGAGACAAAAAATTTTGCTCTGTATACTTTATAACCCACCACGCACCAGCCACCGAACTAGTTCGGTTGAGATTCAACGTCTTACCAGTGGACGAAGAAACGAAAAAGCATAAGAGGAAAATGAAGAGAGCAGGTAGCTAAAAATGATGCTGTCCTGCTCTTCTCCTTTCCCTTTCCTTTTTCTGTTTTCGGCCAAAGAACTTCTATGGAGTTTTGATTGGAGGCTTATTCGTTTTTTGGTTTTTATACCAGATACTCAAAATGAGTATTGGCGTATATTAGATTTTTGGTGAAAATGGATGTGTGTAATGTCCAGAAAGAATCGTTTCCGACCCCATAAAGTATATATATTCTTGATCAGCATCAACAGCCGAGTCGATTGAGCCCTGTCTGTCTGTCCGTTCATCCGTCCCTATCAGCGCCTAGTGCTCAAAGACTATAAGAGCTAGAGCAACGATGTTTTGTATATTATGTCACTGTTACAAGTATATTTCAAAACTTTTCCCCGCCCCCTTCCGCCCTCACAAAGGGCGAAAATCTGTGACATTCACAATTTCGAAAATACGAGCAAAAAGAAAATGCGAAACGTAGAGGATGACTATATCTTCTGGAATACAGAATCTGAACCAGATCGTATAATTATTATAGCCAGAATCAAGAAAACAATTTCATTCTTTCTCGCTCTGTCTCTCTCTAACACACAGGTCTCATGGTCGGTTTTGCTCGTTGCAAAACATGAGTTCAAGGATTTCAGAGACTATTAAAGCTAGAGTAACTAAATTTGGTATCGACACTCCTGTTAGATCTCACTATAAGACGGATATCTCAAAATTTCGCCCTTCTTCCACCGCCACAAAAGACGAAAATCTGTGGCATCCACAATATTAAATATACGAGAAAACTAAAAACGCACAATAATAGAGAATGACCGTATCTATGAGATCGCTGAATCTGGATCAGATCGGATCATTTTTATAGCCAAAACGGAACAAATTAATTTGCGGTGGCTACGCAGCGCCCGACGACTTGTTCAAACACGTTTTCTGTCTGTAGATACAGGGACTGGATCAGCTGAAGCCTAGCTTAGGAAGGCCGTTCAACTGCAAAAACAAACTTTTTTTAAGAAATAGTACCACCGCGAACAGCAAAGCCTAAATTAAGTAAATTTATAAATTAAAATGAAATAAATAATACAAAACGAGGGGGAACGTTGTGAGTTGCTGCAGCTGCCGCAACTCTACAGTTATACCCGATACTAAGTCAGTATGGCTCTCCTCCGGCAAACGGCGCTAATATTAAACGACACGACAAAGAGTGCGTGCGAGAGAGACAGAAAATCAGTCTGAGCGTGACGTCGACGCTGCGGAGCCAGTGCAAATTGATTTGTTCCCTTTGGCTATAAAAATGATCTGATCTGATCCATATTCAGAAACCTGATAGATATGGTCATTATCTATGAATCTGCGCTTTTATTTTTCTCGAATCTGCAATATTGTGGATGCAACAGAATTTCGTCCTTTGTGTGGGCGGAAGGGGGTAAGGCGAAATTTTGAGATATACGTTTTATAGTGAGATCTAACAGAAGTGCGGATACCAAATTTGGTTACTGTAGCCTTAATAGTCTCTGAGATTTGTGAATATCCCCAGATTTGCATCCTTTGCGGGGGCGGAAGGGGGTGTGGCGAAATTTTGAAACAAACTCGTCTCGGTCCGATATATTAGGAGTGTGGATACCAAATTTGGTTGCTCTAGCTTTTATAGTCTCTGAGATCTAGGCGCTAATGTTTTACTCTAAGCAAAGCCGCCTATGCTACGTATGTGCTAGAGAGAGACGGGGCGAGAAAAAATTAAATTGTTTTCTTGATGCTGGCTACAATAATAATACGATCCAATTCAGATTCTACAGTCTAAAAGATATGGTCATTCTCTACGATTCTGCGTTTTTGGTTTTATCGTATCTTTAAAAATGTGGATGCCACAGATTTTCGTTCTTTGTGGGGGCGGAAGTGGGCGGGGCGAAGTTTTGAAATATTTTTGTAGCAGTGACATATCACAGAAGTCTGGATCTAAAACATCGTTGCTCTAGCTCTTGTAGTCTTTGAGCATTAGGCGCTGAAGGGGACGGACAGACGGACAGACGGACAGACGGACGGACGGACAGACGGACAGACAGACATGGCTCAATCGACTCGGCTATTGATGCTGATCAAGAATATATATACTTTATGGGGTCGGAAACGATTCCTTCTGGACGTTACACACATCCACTTTTACCACAAATCTAATATACCCCAATACTCATTTTGAGTATCGGGTATAATAAAACCCCCAAGAAGAGCGGTGAAAATACGCATACATATGTATGTTCCTAAAACTAAATAAATAGAAAACTTAGTAGCATATAAACTATTATATCTGTGCTTACAGGGAAGTCTGGAAAGCCGACAAGTGTCATGTATGTATATATATGTGCATATATGTATGTATACACTCCCCGACACTTGAATACGACACACTAAAAATGTTTACTAAAGGCACTAATATTTTCGGCACAATTCAAAGAAAACGGTGAATTTTAATTTTCATACAAATCTTTATTTAATTTAGCATAAATTGAAAAAAAAAAACTATATTCATTAAAGCAGATTAAGGAAACAAATTTAATTAAAACCGAGGGGGAACGTTGTGAGTTGCTGCGGACACCGCAACTCTACGGTTATACCCGATACTAAGTCAGTATGGCTCTCCTCCAGCACGCCGCTAATATTTAACGACACGACAAAGAGTGCGTGCGAGAGAGACAGAAAATCAGTCTGAGCGTGACGTCGGGCGCTGCGTAGCCACTAAAAATTGATTTCTTGCTTTTGGCTACAAAAATGATCCGATCTGATCCAGATTCGGCAACCGGATAGATATGGTCATTCTCTATGATTCTGCGTTTTTAGTTTACTCGAATTTGCAATATTGTGGATGCAACAGATTTTCGTCCTTTGTGTGGGCGGAAGGGGGTGGGGCGAAATTTTGAGATATACGTTTTATAGTGAGATCTAACAGGAGTGCGGATACCAAATTTGGTTACTCTAGCCTTAATAGTCTCTGAGATTTATGAATATCCCCAGATCTGCATCCTTTGCGGGGGCGGAAGGGGGTGTGGCGAAATTTTGAAACAAACTCGTCTCGGTCCGATATATTAGGAGTGTGTATACCAAATTTGGTTGCTCTAGCTTTTATAGTCTCTGAGATCTAGGCGCTAATGTTTTACTCTAAGCAAAGCCGCCTATGCTACGTGTGTGTTAGAGAGAGACAGGGCGAGAAAAAATTAAATTGTTTTCGTGATACTGGCTATAATAATAATACGATCCAATTCAGATTCTGCAGTCTAAAAGATATGGTCATTCTCTACGATTCTGCGTTTTTGGTTTTCTCGTATCTTTAAAATTATGGATGCCACAGATTTTCGCCCTTTGTGGGGGCGGAAGTGGGCGGGGCAAAGTTTTGAAATATTTTTGGAGCAGTGACATATCACAGAAGTCTGGATCCAAAACATCGTTGCTCTAGCTCTTATAGTCTTTGAGCATTAGGCGCTGAAGGGGACGGACAGACGGACAGACGGACAGACGGACGGACGGACAGACGGACAGACGGACGGACGGACAGACAGACATGGCTCAATCGACTCGGCTATTGATGCTGATCAAGAATATATATACTTTATGGGGTCGGAAACGATTCCTTCTGGACGTTACACACATCCACTTTTACCACAAATCTAATATACCCCAATACTCATTTTGAGTATCGGGTATAATAACTCGAATTTCCGTTCTAAAAAAATGCGACATTTGAAACATTTCAAAGGCATGGTTGTGGTTTCACTCGAGACTCATTTGAGTGCACACGCCAATATTGGACAAAGCCACTGAAACACCACAGTCTTTTATATAACAATATAACGCGAACTATTTTTTAGCGCACTCTTTTTTTAATATCTATTGCTCTGTTGTTAAAAGCAACAACTTTGAATTTTTTCAAAATCCAGCAACAATCTCGTACTCATATGAAGCTTCCATTACGCATGCACTTTGCTCGAAGATCAATGACAAACTAATTAGAAGATCATTGTGCCGAAAACATGTAAAATGCGATAACAAACGATATAAGACAATAAACGGAACCTTTTTTTAAAGGTACTTTGCAATTTTTACGAAGAAGAAGAAGAAGGCGCTAAGACACTTTTGGAGTGGGCGCTATTTCACTTTCAAAAAAGTGGCATAAGGCCCGAAGGCCTTATGTGGGGCGTTATGACATGTACCCATTTAAAACACCATTTGAACAACGAAGAAATTCAGAACGTTTTAGATACATACATACATACATACACAACATTATCAGCCTTTGTAATGATACAAAATCATATGGCGAAATCGCGGCTATAGTCAAATTAAGTCGATCCACCGTCCAGACCATCATTCGCAACAACAACAGCAACAATTCCAACAATTGGCATGGTGCCAATGGTGGACCAACCAAATATTAAAAATATAATAAGTATTAATATTAAGATGAATACCACAGATTATCGTCCTTTGCGGAAAGGTGGGGCGAAATTGTAAAATACAATTATAACAGTGAAATACAAAATGTCGTTGCTCCAGCTCTTATAGTCTCTGAGCGCCTAGTGCTCATATGTACAGGGATATATGCACATATGTAGGGACGGACAGACAGACATCAATCGACTCCGTTATTGATGCATTATTATAGCCATAATGAAGAAAACAATTTCATTTTCTCTCGCTCTGTCTCTCTCTGTGTGTGTTAAACGTTTCATGGTCGGCTTTACCTATCGCTAAAAGTGAGCAACATCCACAACATTGAAGATACGAGAATATTAAAAACGCACAATCATACAAAAGGACCATATCTACCAGATTGCCGCATCTGGATCAGATCGGATCATTTTTATAGCCAAAATGGAAAATGAACAAATAAATTTGCAGTGGCTGCGCAGCGCCCAACGACACGTTTAGCCATATGACCGTGTATCAGGTATAAAGAGTTGCGGTCGCAGCAGCAACTTACAACGTTCCCTCTCGTTATACCCGATACTCAAAATGAGTATTGGGGTATATTAGATTTGTGGTAAAAGTGGATGTGTGTAACGTCCAGAAGGAATCGTTTCCGACCCCATAAAGTATATATATTCTTGATCAGCATCAATAGCCGAGTCGATTGAGACACACGTAGCATAGGCGGCTTTGCTTAGAGTAAAACATTAGCGCCTAGATCTTAGAGACTATAAAAGCTAGAGCAACCAAATTTGGTATCCACACTCCTAATATATCGGACCGAGACGAGTTTGTTTCAAAATTTCGCCACACTCCCTTCCGCCCCCGCAAAGGATGCAAATCTGGGGATATTCACAAATCTCAGAGACTATTAAAGCTAGAGTAACCAAATTTAGTGTCCGCACTCCTGTTAGATCTCACTATAAAACGTATATCTCAAAATTTCTCCCCACCCCCTTCCGCCCCCACAAAAGACGAAAATCTGTTGCATCCACAATATTGCAGATTTGAGAAAACTAAAAACGCAGAATCATAGATAATGACCATATCTATCAGATTGCTGAATCTGGATCAGATCAGATCATTTTTATAGCCAAAAGGAACAAATCAATTTGCAGTGGCTACGCAGCGCCCGACGTCACGCTCAGACTGATTTTCTGTCTCTCTCGCACGCACTCTTTGTCGTGTCGTTTAATATTAGCGGCGTCTGCCGGAGGAGAGCCATACTGACTAAGTATCGGGTATAAATGTAGAGTTGCGGTGTCCGCAGCAACTCACAACGTTCCCCCTCGTTTTTATTTGCTTCTTATACTGATATTGAAAATTTAAGTTTGATCGATGCGAACGCTAAAATTTCTGCATAACTTTGACAGAGTTGATTTCCGATAACAAAGACTCTAGAAATACTGCTAGCTCTACCCTGTACCACAGCTACTGTGACGCTCTTCGCGGCTAGTACATATACACCGATAAGTAGGAAAATAGTCATCACGTTCCGCATAAGAGCGGAAAAAATGAATTTCTAAATAAACATTTATTATCATGATCATCATCATTATCTGGTTCGAGACGGACAGTGCATATATGTATGTATATATACTTATTGGTACGTTATATATATAAGGATAAATGGATATTCCAAGACCCACTCTGGAATAGATAGCGCTTCGGAGCTCCCTGTTAGCTCGGTCTCCTTTTTGGGAAGTAGATATGGGAAGTGAGCTTGCCGTAATGGTTATAATCTGTACGGATGAACATAATTAATCATGGTGCCACTATATTGGCTGTCGCTCTAATTCACTCACCAGAGACATCGGCGAACAGCTTGATCCGCTTATCAATTTGTACGAGAGGCCCCAGGATCGCTGACTGGGGAATGGAATTTCCACACAAAAACATTTTAGCTAAACTTAGAGACTGGAGGTACGTGAATGATATTGCGATCCTTAACATAAATAAACACTAAGTCAAGTGCCACATGAGGATATCCCGAACACCAGGATACATAGGCCCTCTTACACAATCGGATACTTAGGTGTAGGTGGTCTAAATATAGCTGCTTGGTGACCAGTGGACCGGACGGAGGTTATCTCAGCTGAAGAGGCTTCACTTGGGCCAGGCCGTGTTCGGGGACGCGGGACTTGGCGGCCGCCACACAGGTATTCTTGAGGGATTTACCCGCCGGCCTCTTGGTGCACTCGTCGAAGTAGCACTTCTCCACGTGGTGTAGAAACTCGATGAGCAGCTTAGCATTGTCCCCGTTGGGCCCTACAGAGTACTCGCACTCGAAGCTATACTGCTTGAGGTCACGCACACAGCAGTCGAGGAACTCCGAATTGGCTGAGTACCAGTCGTTGTGGCGTTCGAGAGGAATGCCCAAACGCGCACGCACCACGCCCGTCACCCACGTGTCGTCGATCCAGAAGATCGATACACGCTCCGCCTCCGCCACGAGTCGGGCGGCGGTAGGCACGTTGGTGATGTATAGCCAGCCGGAGAGGTAGGCCGGGTAGAGCGTGTGGGGGTACTCTTGCCGCGTGACATACCACTTATTGGCCTGCAGGCGGATGGGCGGCTTTGCGTCCAGCACATAGCCGGCCAGCAGCGTGCTCGAGGTGGCCAGCGCGGGCTGGCTCACCTCCAGAGACTCTAGGTAGCGGCGCAGGTGGAAGACGTCGTAAATTATGTCATCGTCCAGCTTGATGATAAACTTGGTGCGACCCTCACACTCGCCAGCCGCCCAGCGCAGCCCCATCACATGTTTGTAGCTCAGGTTGCGGTAGTCCTCCACAAAATTCCCCTGCAGCAGGTCTCCAAAGCGGGTCTGCTCGTTGATCACTTGCGCCTGGGTGAAGAAGTGCTCTCTGAGCGGCAGAGCAGCCAGAAGGAATACTCGCTGCAGCCCCATTTCGGCCAGCTTGCTCTGTGTTATGGCCTGGCGGTGGGCGGCGCGCAGGGAGTCGTGGCCTGCATAGGAGGTGACAATGAGCACAGCTATAGACGAAAGTAGACACAATATGATTTATGTTAAGAGACTCCGAAACGCTGAAACACTTACCCAGAAGCTCTTTGTCTACATGGCGACACACATCACTGGGCAGCAGATAATCGAAATCGGTAAGGTTCAGCAGAGGTCCGGCCGGGGCCCGTAGCCCGGGCACTGATGGTGTTTCGTCGTGCAGCTGGAGCAGGAATTCATCGCTGTCGACGGGCAAGGAGGATGAGTCGCGCAGATGGTTTGAAATGTAGCTGAAGCACAGAAGAACGATGATGAGCAGCGACAAAACAATTGGAAGCAATCTGCGGCCGCGCATGCGCATCTTCTAACATTCTTTTGTTTTTCCCCGTACTCTGTTTGGTTATTTTTGCGTGTGTTGGTATGTGTATGATCACGTGTGCGAGTTGGGCATGCGGGAGTGATGTGCATTTATGTAAACGAAAACATCCAATAACTGTTTTTTGTAGCTATAATTAGACTGCGACGGAACCGTGAGAAACGTCACACAGACACCACACTGTCAGCATTCGCAGAAAATACCAGTTTTGGTGTCTGCTAGCAATGTATCGATAGCTGTACACTGAAACTAGTTCCATTTGATAAATTCGAATAGGCCATTCACACTGGCGACCATCCACCATCCATCTGTGGTGTTTCTAAGCCGCACGTTTCTATACGATATTTAGACAACGGTTTTTAAATACAACCCTAAAAAATATATATATATATGTATGGCAATAAAAAAAGAAGGAGCACCAGGAAACAAAGCGAGAGATACTCCAGCAAATTGCGAACAGTCAAGGCCACGCCAACTTCCAAACAGAGCTGTTGCCATTTTTAAGGGAGTCCAGGAGTAACGTTTACTTAACATATAGATGGATTATTGTTTTATAGCCAATAAAATAACCAATTTACTAGTTTTAAATTGTTGAAATTTCCCGATTCAGACCAAACATTTATATTTTATGTTCATCAGCTGCTTTTTGACGGATAGTGGATGATGCCAGTGTGAATCGGGGTTTCACATCTGTCTAACAAGCCAACCGTTCCCCCAGACCTAGACCTTCAGTTGTATCCGTCCTGTCGACCTCAACGAAATTTTGTCGTGTTCCCCGCAAATCTACAATACTATCATGCCACACGTTTATAATGAAATTTTTCCATCTCCAATACACTTCAACCTGAATATATTTTTCTTTCGAATGGCTGCAAATCACTAATACCAAAAAAAAAAAACAAATACATACATATTACAGGTCTGCATAGCTCCAATGCATTCGAATGCATTCGAACTGAATATAGTTGAATGAGTGAGAACCATCGGCTAACTCTCGCATAGAAACGTGCGGCTTAGGAACATACAAAATCGATGGTGGACTAACTGGGAAATTTTCGGAACGGCAATACTTTACGGACCATCCCCGAAATGGATGGTGGATGTTGGATGGTCGTCAGTGTGAATAGCCTATAAGAAAGCAAAGCATGGCAAGAATTTTTATTTTAAATTTCAAATCATACAAAACCAAAAAAATAATACAAAATGAGGGGGAAGTTGTGAGTTGCTGCGGAGACCGCAACTGTAAATGTACCCGAACCTTAGTCAGTATGGCTCTCCTCCGGCAGACGCCGCTATTTTTAACCGACACGACAAAGAGTTCGTGCGAGAGAAACAGAAAATCAGTCTGATTTGATTTGATCCTTTTGGCTATAAAAATGATCCGATCTGATCCAGATTCAGCAATCTGATATATATGGTCATTCTCTATAATTGTGCGTTTTTAGTTTTTTCGAATCTTCAATATTCGAGATTTATCTTCAGATTTTCGTCCTTTGTGGGGGGTGATAGTGCGATATAACGAGATTATGGATACCAAATTTGGTTACTCTAGCCTTAATAGTCTCTGAGATTTGTGGATGCCCCACATTTTTGTCCTTTGCGGAGGCGGAAGGGGGTGTGGCGAAATTTGCCGTAACTAACTAACGATATCACAGGAGTGTGGATACCAAATTTGGTTGCTCTGGCTCTTATAGTCTCTGAGATCCTTGAACTCACATTTTGCAATAGGCAAAGCCGACCATGAAACCTGTTTGTTAGAGAGAAACAGAGCGAGAGAGAATGAAATTGTTCTCTTGGTTCTGGCTAAAAAAATGATACGATATGGTTCAGATTCAGATATAGTCATCCTCTACGATTTTGCGTTTTCTGTTTTCTTGCAGGTTTGGAAAAATAAAATTGGACCAAGTGGGGGTGCTCCATCTGGATGGCAACATTACGATAAGCTAAACTCGTTCCTGAGATCTTTCCGTATTCACAACATGGAGCAGAACACATTAGACAACCACAGTAAGTTTAATGAAATATGGTTTCATTTAGAAAACGCCTAGAAGGAAAAGCTCGTCCAGGACCAGATCAGTACCCAAACAAAATGGGTGCATGTCATAGCGCCCTTAATTTAGTGTCATAAGACCCGCGGGATCTTTTTTTCGGATATACAACAGAATATGCAGTTTCTGCTTTTCTTTTAAAGTTTGTTTTTTTTTTAAATTAATTCTAGCTTTTTTATTAATTCTTGTGGAGAAGCACTGTTGTGGTTGCACTCGTGACTCATTTGAGTGCCAGTATTGGACAAGGCCACGGATATACTACAGTCTTTTATCACTATCCATACAGTATATACAACCTCCAATTTTTTAAAATCGATGGAATAATGAAGAAAGAATATTATCTTCATATTTGGGAACCCGTTTTGTCAAATTTTATAAACAAATGTGTCTTCCCCATATCCGAGATCACTTTCCAGCAAGACGGTACCCCGACGCAAACGGCAAAATTCGTGAAAAATCGTCCTAATAACTCGACGACTCGACTTCACTTAATCCAGTGGCCTGCTGAATAGCCCAAATCTAAATCCCATTGAAAATCGATTTCTGTTTAAAAAACATTGGAAAAGTACGAGTCTGCACCAAAGGGATTGGGTGAGTCTTTGGGAGAACGTGAAGTCGGAGTGGCGCATGATACCTTGCCTGCACCTACTAAATTTAATCGAAAGTATTCCAATACTTATTCGGAACAAATATTTTTTAAAAATTATTAAAGTAAAAAAATTTGAAACGTGCAAACATGATACATGCTCTTTTTTTGAACAAATTAAAATCTCTTAAGGAAAAGGATCTTTTTGAATTGAAATTATTGTCGTTTTTCATTCACACTAAATTAATAATCATTTAAAATAAAATCACAAGGATTGATTCATTTTTAGAGATTTTACAGGCGCTTAAAGTGAAAAGTGATAAACATGTATCCACATGTGCTCGCCACTGTAGAGTTCATGCAACGAAAATGTCACACATCAAACACAGAATATTGCGTCCCATAGGTTTCGGGTCTGACCCGGGTGAGACATGTTCGTTGTATGAACTGCCACATCTATATAGTACTGTATGGTTAGTGATTTTATGTTGCAAATATAACGCAAACTGTCGTTAGAAGCAAAAACTTCGAATTTTTTCAAACTCCAGCAACAATCTTATATTCAGAGCAAGCTTCCGTTTCGAGTGCTCGTTTTTTATACCAGATTCTCAAAATGAGAATAGGGATTTAATAGATTAGTGGTAAAAATGGATGTATGTAACGTCCAGAAGGAAGCGTTTCCGACCTCATAAAGTGTATTTATTCTTGATCAGCTTCAATAGCCGAGTCGATTGAGCCATGTCTGTCTGTCCGTCCAACTGTATATCGTCCATTTTGTATATTATGTCACTGTTACAAGTATATTTCAAAACATCGCCCCGCCCACTTCCGCCCCCACAAAAGACGAAAATCTGTGGCTCCACAATTTTAAAGATACGAGAAAATAAAAAACGCACAGTCAAAAAAACAGACCATATCTATCAGATTGCCGAATCTGGATCAGATCGGATTATTTTTATAGCCAAAAGGAACAAATCAATTTGCAGTGGCTACGCAACGCCCGACGACACACTCCGACTGATTTTCTGTCTCTCTCGCATGCACTCTTTGTCGTGTCGTTTAATAATAGCGGACGAGGAGCGTCTGCCGGAGGAGAGCCATACAGACTAGGTATCGGGTATAAATGTAGAGTTGCGGTCGCCGCATCGACTCACAACGTACCCCCTCGTTTTAAATGTACTTTTATTGATTCTTAGCTTAGAATTGGTGGCCTCGATCGACCGCAGTGAGGAGAATGAAAATATGACGCAGCGGAAGCTAGTCCACGCGCAGCTCGTCGAGTCGTTCTTCTCGCGAATGGAGGAGGACCCCAGCGCTACCATTCGCACGTTTGATGGAGCGGGATGGCTGAGCAGGGTCAAGATCCTGAAATGTATCGACAACCCAACGCGGCAGTGGCTGGTGCAGAAGGTGCCTCAACTGGAACCTCTGTGGGAGAGGGCCAAGCTGGAGGTGGTAGACAGGGGGGCCAGCATGTGATCCTCCAGATCAGCAAGGAGGCGGAGGAACTTCTTCCCAAGTTCGGGAAGATGGCATGGGGCGTAGGTAGGGTCTACCTACGGCTGAAAAAGCGCCATCCCGAGGATAAAGATGCGCACATCCTTCAGGCAGGCGAGGTCGAGAAAGACCTAGGTCTGGAGACCTTAGTGGAGGCCGCCCAGGGTCTTGCGCTGGACGAATCGAAGGAAGAGGACGGTGACCTGACAATTATAGTCAACCCGTCGTGTGAGCTTGAGTTAGCCATCCATGACACTAAGGGTGTCTTCATAAAATCAATATAGCGTCGGCGGAGCTCCTCATTGCCATGGAGCAAGGGCCAGCTGACATTGCTTTAGTCCAGGAGCCGTGGATTGCGTCAGGCAATTCTGTAGCCGGACTAAAGTCCTCAAATTACAACCTTCTCTACACAACATCGGTAAGCAGGAACAGAACCGCCCTACCCTTACGGAAGGGAATCCATGCTCATTTTATATCTCATTACAGCACGGATGACCAGACGGTAGTGATGCTGGAGAGTGAGGAAAAGCGCCTTATGGCAGCTTCCTGCTACATGGCATACGACAGGCCCGCACCATCGGAACATTTTAGGAGTCTGGTGACAGAAACCGGCTGCAAAAATCTAAAACTTCTCATTGGCGCAGACGCCAACGCCCATCACAATGTTTGGGAAAGCCCTTACACCAATGATAGAGGTTAGACTAGACTTTATATTATCAACTAACTTAGACTTAGCAAACGTGGAGGAGGAACACACCTTCGTAGGTCCCCCCTCGTCAAGCATGCTAGACCTAACTTTCGTCACGGGAAACAGTACTTTGGTATCTGGGGAGTCCTCGAAAGACCATCCTTCTCAGACCATAAGTTCATTCAGTTCAAGTGCGAATAAAAATACTCTTCGAAGATAACAGTCTATAGAAACCCCGGAACACAAACTGGGTAAAGTTTAAAAAGACAGTTACTTCGAAGCTCTTGAATCCGGGCTCAGTGAAATCTGCGGAATATATAGAGAAGTCCGTAGA